TGATAGCACTGGTTCTGATAGAGGCCATTATTTCTCTCATATTTGATAAACAACAGAGATAGTGATGCTGGAATTTTTCTTTTGCCTCATTCTAACTTCTCTAACCTTTAACCATCTATAAACCTTTTTCCTTATGTGAATCTCAATGTATCTATCTTTGTTGTGGTCCATCCTTCCTTTTCTTTGTTTTCTATCATTATCTCACTAGAACTTTGACATCAGGCTCCTAGTTAGTTTTCCCCCCACATTTCCTGACAGATTCCTATATCCCTGTGGTTGATCTGTCCATTGCCATTGCTATAAAGTTTTTTGTCTTCCTTAGTTCACTCCAGTTCTCTTCAGCCACATCATCCATGGCTACACTCTGGAGACTGCTGTCACCTCCAGTGGTTCCTTCACAGAAATCCTTGACTCTGGCATCTGACATTTACAGCCCAACCTCTTCTCTTTCTCTTGTTCATGTTCTTACATTTCTCACACACCCTATACCACAGTTATTATCTAGTTGTTTTCTTGGAATATCTTTCCAGATGTTCTGTGGGCACCTCAAACTATATTTCACTTTTCCAGCCTTACCACACCTTGTCCTCTGCATTGCTTGTTGCTGTTCTTGCTTTTAGGTGCCATTGAGTCAATTTTCAACTCATAGCAACCCCATGTGACAGAGTGGAGCTGCCACATAGCATTTTCTAGGCTGTGATCTTTACAGGAGCAGCTTGCCAGGTCTTTCTCCCACAGAGCTGCTGGGTGGGTTCAAACTACTAGCCCGTCAGTTAGTAGCTGAGTGCTTAACCATTGCACCACCAGGAGGTCAACTCTTTAACTCCTCCTTCACATTTCACATTCAAACAGTTATCAAGTTCTGCCCATTTTAAATTCTAAATATTTTTTAATTATCTGCTCCTTTCAATTCCTACGACTGCTTCCCTGTTTCAGAACCTTATCATCTCTCACCAGAGCTGCAGCCTTCCAACTCATCCAGCTTCTTGCCGTCCATTCTGTAAATGGTGCCAGAATAATTTTCCATAAATTCACCCTGAACCATGCCATTTTTCTTTTTATAGTCCTTCAGTGGCTCTGCCCTGCCTACAAGATAAAGTTCAAAGCCCTTGATTGTGGAAAATAAATCATTTCTTGATCAATTCCTTTCTGTTTACCTTCTACTTCCCCATAATCAGTAGCCCAGATTTCATGCTATAACAATACCAAACTGTTTAAATTTACCCAAAATATATTTTTTTCTGCTTAAAACACCTTTACATCCTTCCTTTTCCCCTGATTATCCTCCAAAATTTAGTTCATATGCTTTTGAAGTCTCCAATCAGTCATGCTGATAGGGTTATGTACCCTGCCTTTGTGCTCCCATAGCACTCTGTGTAATCTTGAACATTTATCATGTTGTATTCAAAACGGTCTGCTTCCATGTCTGTTCCTACCACTAGAGTCATTTTGAGACTAGAAACCAAGTCTTGTTCATGTTTGTATATACCAACTCCTCACTTATTGACTATCTCATTATCTGATATTTTGCATTTACAACAATAGTAAAAAATCTACTACCCAGCTATTTTGCACATTAACGATGTCTGTCTGGAAGTAACACTGTGGTGTGGTGTGAGGCTGGAGTAATGCTGGCTATGATTGTTTAAGGTTATGTGTCAGTTTGGCTGGGCCATGGTTCTCAGTGGTTTGGCAGTTATGTAATGATGTAATTTGGCAGTTATTTAATGGTATAATCTGGCAGTTAGGTAATTATTAGTTGTGCTGCATTTTGTAATCTGACGTAATCATCTTTCATTTTCACATATTACCAATGTACACATAAAGGCCTGGTCTTTAGAACCTAACCATGTGGATAAGTGAGGAGTGGGTGTATCTTGATGTTATTAGCTGCCATCAAGTCATACCCAGCTTATGGCATCTGGCATATATCATGAACTCAATAAATATTTTCCAGTTCACACACCCCAGCTTCATAGTGATTTATTTGACAATTGATTAAAGAGATTAAGTAAAGCAGAAGTTGCTAAGACAAGTGAGGTTTTTTTATGAGAGTGACTAGGAAGATGGTGTTATCATTAAAGGAGATTGGAAACAGAAAGAGGAAATAGTTTCAAGGTAAAGATAATGCATTATATTTGTATGAGTTGATTTGGGAGGATGTGAGAAGACATCCCTTCACAGTAAATATTTGATCAAGTCAGCAGTTTTAGAGACCATTTCAGGTGAGAGGAATTTATGTAGAAATGTGGCAAGGATTACTAACACAGAAATTGCTGAAGGAGACAGGAAGCCAGAAAAGGACAGAATCCTCAAGAAAGTCTACCTTGAGGGGAAAGGCAGTAGAAGAGTTCCCAGCAAAAGAATCTCAGTAGATGCCTCCTAAAACTAGTGAATCATCGGGATAATTTATTGTGAAGGCCAAGGGAGAAAAAATTTTAAGAAAAGAGTCGATTACTGTGAAGTGGTCTAGTAAGAAGCAAGACTCTTGAAAAGAGAAAAAGCTATTAAAAATTTGTTTTAGTAGGTATGTCTGTTAAAATAAATTACTTTTTCTAGAAGTTTGACAGAGGAGAGAGAGGAAGTAGTAATGTGAGAGAAATAGTGAAAGTTTTTGTTTTTGTTTCCTAATTATAAAAAATAAAAGTTACATACCCTTTGGAAGAAATGAAGACATTCGAAAGTATATAAATTAAAATATAAAATCTTCTCAGTTACCCTATTTCCATGTTTTCTTTCTGGTTTGATGTTTATCCACCCAAAACTTGTTGAACCTTTTTTTATAGTTTTGTTTTTCAAAAATTAGATCACTTTATATGTTCTATTACTGCAAATTGTTTTTCTTTTTTTTTTTTTTTTTACTTAATAGCATGTCATTAGGTTTCTTCACATTAGTATAGAGAGCGTCCTCATTCTTTGCAGTGACTGAATAGTATCCTTGTGCTGGGTGTATCATAGTTCATTTACTCATCTCCTATGGAATGATATTTGCCTTCAACACATACTCTCATGCTGTTGTGCGTGTTCTTCTTTAGGATAATTTCTTAGAATAGAATTATTAGAAAGGTAAGTCCATTTTTATTTTAGGTAAATGTTGACAAATCACCCACCAAAGGGCTGTACCTATTTGCAATTCCTCCAACAATGTACAAAAGTACTCTTCTCCTTGTATCCTTACTGACGTTGAGTGTTATTATGTCTTTCCATTCAAGGGAAGATTTTTTGGTTTTAGATTTTGATTTGGGTTTTGGTTTTTAATGGCAGGTCTGATATTGTTAGTAATCCTAGGAAAATAATCCAGTCAAGAGGAGATTAAGTTATAAGAAAAGGAGATGATTGAAAGGCCACAGTCTCAGAGAGCATGAGTCTAGATGATATCAAGAGTACAACTCAAAGGTATAATTTCCTTCTGAGACATTGAGAGGAATAGTAGATGGGTGGAGATGAAAATAAATGCAAATGAAGGAAGAATTTTTCTTTATTATATAGTCATCTTTATTTCAGAGAAATTACAAGTCAAGTGCCCTGTTGAGACAGTGGATTACCAGGAGGAAGTTTTAAATAGTTACAGAAAAACCTCGCTGTAAAATGGGATAGAGAAGCAGAAAGCAGCCAGTGTTGGGAACAATCAGTATTGGCTAGCATTGGAAGCTCAGCTGAAGTGAAAGAGAATCAATTTTTAGGGAAGGTAGGGATCTTGGTCACATGACTTTTTCTGTAGAAACAAGCAGAAATGTAACAGTTGGGTTTGCCTGGGTTTAGGGTTCTGGCTTGGGGTAAATTTATATTACATTCACAGTGAGGTAGTTTCATTCTCCTTATTTCCCTGTCCCATAGATAGAAGTTATATAACCCAAGACACACATCCATTGGTGGGTCTGCATGGGAGAGTGATCCCTGAGTTTTGGTAAAATTTTAAGAAATGTATTTAATATTGTGGATTATACCTATATAAAGCCATATTGCTAATAGTTTCTGTTTCTTCATATCACTCTGATCATAAAGCTATTTAACTTCTTGATTTGTGTTGATAAATTATGGTATGAGCAAATATTACTAAAAATTCTGATCATCCAAACTGGAAGCCCAGTGACTTTATGGGTTTATGTGATTTGAATCCTGGTCAAGGGCCACCTTGGATTAGTAATGGATTCAGTACTACTGTATTCAACTGATTCATGTGTAGAGTTTATCTCTGCCTCTGGGGAGTTTAGAAATCTTAATTTTTAGCATCTTGCTTTTAGGGTAGCTGCCTTTAATTGATTCTATTCTTTTTTCTTTAAGTTAAAAGGAAGAGATTGGTGGAGTAGTGAGGTATGCACACATCAGAACATTTCTCCCTGAAAGAAGAACGTTTTATAAGAGGAAAGATCCTAATAGTGGAAACACATTTTGTTAGGGAGGAAAAACTTTGTACAAGTGCTCATTTTCATTAAAATGGCTTTTAATCCATATTTGCCTTGTTGACTTTATACTGAAATGAGAGTCCACTTCTTCCACATGCATTATTGCACTATTCTGTACATACTCTGAGTATACAATAAATGCTATAATAATTGAAAGGGAGACATACAAACATATTTTGAAGTAAATTGGTGATATTTTAATCTCTAGCGTTCATTTTTAGTACCTGGAAAACATTGTAGAAATACAAGTCTTGTTTTAGCGTACTTTTTTATTATTATTTATACGTAAATTCTGGTTCTTAATCATACTCTGTGGCTTTATTAGAAGTTTCATAGGTCTGAGTTGCATCTCCCCAATTCCAAATATAAGCTTTTTGAAGATAAACATCATTTCTTCACAGTTGCTGTGGCAGGACGCAACCTAGACCTTCAGTAAATTATTTACTATTTAAATTATTTATTAATAAAAATAAGAAAATGAAAGTTCTTAACTGCCATGAATTGCATTTTAATGTATTCTGAATTTAAACTCTTTTGTGTGATCTGTAGCTCCTTGCATGCTCTCTACAACTCATTCATGTTTGTTCTTTCCAGTTTATTGAAGTCAAAACGTGATGGCTGGCTGACTGAAACATCACCATCCATCAAAAAGTTCCCAGAATCCACTAGCAGTGGAGAAAACCGGAAAGGAAAGAAAGTAGTTGGATTTCAGTCAGAGATGGATGATGATGCCCTATGGACATGTCAGAAGAAGGATACATGTAGACCACAAGGAGGTAGGCTGTAGAAGCAAAATGAGAAGTTCTTGGGAACAGATAGTTGCTGGTGGCTGCTGGCCAATGGACTCCAGATGATTTCCTACAATCCTGATCAAGAGTTAGATATGATACCAACTGACATGTACCTGCAAGGCCACAGGTGGCACATCTACTATATCAATAAATAGCATCTGCATTTCTTTTAGAATATTGATATGAAAAATTATATCAAATTTGTCCTTTCTGCAAGCAGCAAACTGTAAGAATTATTCAGCAGTGAGTGTGGTCATAGACACAAAATAATGTTCATAGTGACTAAGGAGGTCAAGAAAGTGAATATAAATTTCTCCTGGGAAAATAAACTAACATCTACAGTCAATCTTTAATTAACAGGAAATATGGAGGAGGGTTAAACAGAGGCCATAGATAACTCTGCATTATGGCTAAAACAAAGCCTCAAAAGCCTCAGCCATATATTCCCTAGCAGTCTTTTAATACCAGTAATACTTTTATTTATATGTTGGAGATATTTTAAAACAAATTAATTATAGATAACTGTGTGAAATGTTGAGTGGAAACAGTCAGATTTAATTGTGTTTCCCAGTTGTTCCCAGAGTGGTTTTTGGCTTAATCTATCCTGGCATCCTTCAGGGAAGGACTTTGAAATAGAATGGGGCGAGTCTGAGCTTCTCTGTTCAGAAGAGATGTACAAGAAACTAAGGACTAAACTAAACTAAGTAAAGTCTGAGCCCATTCAACCAGCACCTCTTTCCCAGCCCTCTTTCTTTTTTGCTCACCACTGTTAGCCCTGATTTCTTTCTTTTTTTGAACTTCTTTTTCCACTGAGCTAGCATCTTTCTCCCTCGATGTTAAGCAACCCACGTTTGAGAACCTTGCTGGTCTAGCCACTTTCACGTTTATCATCTGAGAGCTGGGAGGTGCTTTGTGAGCAGATCTCATAGGTCTGCTCTCCCTGCCTTTCTTCTGCAGCCAGCTTTGTCATGTTTTTGCTTTTGATTACGATTAGTTTAGAAATGTTAATCCTCTTCCAGACAATGGAGAGATGACTAATTAGTCTAAAGTTCAGAAGGGAGACAATCCACAGTTTGAAACAAAAGCAAAAGTGTATTTTGTTTGACATAAGGCAAAATTTCTACAGACCCCCATTGCTTTAGGACAACTTAGAAACCTCTTTTAGACTTTGCTACCAAAAATAAAAATGAAATTGAGGAGACTTACTATACGAGATCAATCTTCTTTACTTTCTTTATTAGTAGTCCTTCAGATAGAAAACTTAGCTCAGCTTTCTCAATCGTTGTCATTGCACTTTGGAGAATGGAGAATCAGTCAAAACACTGTGGTAGTTACAATGCAAAGCTTAACATAGTCTTCGGTTAACTTGTCAACAAATTTGTGTTGTGTGCCAGCGCTACAAAACAATGGCAAAATGAGAAAAATATAGTGTAATAGCAAAGGGACAAATAACTTGTGTTATTGGTTAAGACCACAACATTAGAAAGCAGCAATTGAAAAGGCACTTTGGGACAGGTGTCATCAGGCCAGCCCTTGCTATGGTAGAGGTTAATCTCTCCTGGGCCCAGCTATAGAAGCTGGAAGCCTGGAAAGGACTTGTGTCCAAAAAAAATCAATTTCTAATTTGAAACAAAATCATTTTTGACTAACAGGGGTTCAGAACCCATTACTTTTTGCTGTATAGTCTGCTGACATTTCAGCACTTTCTGTTGTGCACAATGAATCCTAATAGTCATTTTATAATGTTGCTATACCAATCAATTTAACCCAGAGAAAGCTGTTACAATTCTGCAAAGTTTTCAGGAACAATTTTCACTCTTTTTTTTTTTTTTCCCATTAGTTCTTCCCTACCCCCTACCTCCTTCCCTCACCCCTTTGTTTTTCACATGGGTAGGGGGCTGTAGTGTTGGAATGAAAAAATGGAAATAGTTTTTTCTTTTTTTAATTTTTATTGTGATTTGGGTGAAATTTTACAGAGCAATTCATTTTCCATACAACAGTTCACATACACTTTGTCTCATGACATTGACTGCATGTTTTCCTCTTTTAAAAAGAGTTTTTGTTTTAAGGTAGTCACAGGAGTTATTAACTTCCTGTTCTACATGTGAGAAAGACTATCTTTTATTTGTCATTTCTTTTATTCTAGTTATGGAGCCATTAGCAAAATTATGGTCTACTTGATAACTGAAGGAACTGAAGCTGGCCATTTGAGGCCAGTCTGCCCCTTGTAGAGCTGGTGTAGAAAGTAGAGTACAGAGCAAAGTTATTGCATTGGCATTTGCTGTGTCACCCAACCAAATGTGAGAAATAAACTTCCTAAGGTGTGCTGCATTGGTTTGGACGCCCTGTTTATCACGAGGCTAGTGATTTAGCACTAATCACCTAAGTTGCACTGCTTGGTTTAGTGACTCTTTAATTGCTTGCCCCTCTTTGTTCTTATGTGCGCTCAAGTCGCCCGACTCATAGTGACCCCTCCTTGGGTTTCCGAGGCAGTATTACTATAGAAGTAGATTGCCCAACCTTCCTTCCAAGGAGTGGCTGGTGGGTTTGAACTGCCAGCCTTCTGGTTAGCAGTGAAGTGCCTTAGGCACTATGCTACCAGAGCTCCCTCTTTAGCATGTCTGAATTTTTTTTAATACACGTTTCTAATGTTTTTATCCTTTGTGTCCTTTGTTATTGTCCTTTAGTCGTTAGGTAACATATAGGACATTGACTGTAGGACCATTAATTGTCATTACCACTCTCTTACTCCTTTACCTCTCCTAACTTCTTCACCATTCTGTCAACTTTATTGAGGCTAAACGTGTAACAGGGAAAAAAATAACAAACTCTTTACTCTTGTCTCAAGAAACACATTTATGCTAGCAAAAATATGCACAGTATTTTCAGAATTAAACTTAAAATAGAAATTTTCTTCATCAATTCTTGGAATGTTATATTTAGTTGTTCTTATTGAGCTATGTGGAACAATGAGATATTATTTGGTAAAGTCTAAACTTGGGTCAAGAACTTTTAAACCAAATGCATAAAGGCAACCAACCGCCTTCCTGTTCTATCCCATCTTGCCTAGACCCTCCCCTCCCTGAGCAGTCACTGATGCCCTTTCATAAGAGTCCTCAAAGTTGAGGACATTTTTTTCCTGTTATGCTAATGGGCTAGCAGAAGCTGTGAGGCAACAGAGAATCAAAATGTTAGACCTCAGGGCTTGGCACTGCCCATTCCTAGATCAAGCTACAAAGCCATTCCAGAATACCCTACTATTTTAAAGCTCCCTCTGGTATGTTTCTCTTTCATGATCTCTCAATCCCCGTAAAACTTGGAGAGAGACTGAATTTCATATCAAGTACATAGAGTAATTTGTATTTCCCTGATGGTATTGACAATGAGCTTCATTTTGTCATTTTTTGTTTTTGTTTTTTAATATAATCTCATATATGAACCAGTTGTCACTGGTTGGCTGAGTGGCTCCCAAACACATTTTCCTTTTGATTGAAGAGGAGTTATGTAGACTCAGCTGAAGTGAGGAATAATTTCTGAAGCTCCTACTTGCTCCTGTAAGTGACCTATTCTTCATCATCATCATCATTATTATATGTTTAATCATAAGAAAAGGTATCACAAGATATTACTTCTGATTTCCAAAAGTCTGAGCTGAATGATTTGTTAAAATTGATGACTTTACCAACAAAATACAGAAGTCAAACATAGCATAGGGATATGAATATGCCCTGACATATAGAATAAATTGTCCCGACCAGTCAACTCAAAAAAGGGATTCAAGTGCAAGAGACCAGTCTCTGAGTTGAATCTGCTGTGTAGAGTATTATCACTTAAATCAGAGGGTCTACATTTCCCATCCTCAATAATGGAAAGAAATATACTATCTCAATGTACTGTTTACTTATAGCAGTGCCATGAATTACTTAATATGACCCTTCTAGCCATAGTCCTCCATTCTGATTTATTGTAAATCCTAGCCTCTGTGCCTATGATTATAGTTCCATTTTGGAGTGAGTTGTCTGTTATGTTAATGATACAGCATTATGGTGGGATGTATCTTGAGTCACTTCCTTACTAGGGAGTGGAACTCAAATCACCACCCTTAGTTTCCTTGAGGGTATGGTCTGTATCCAATGTATATGAATGCTCTGGCAAAATTCTCTCTCTTGCTCTGGATCCTACCTCTGCTTCTTCATCATCTGACCTCTGGTTCTTGGGACTTGATATAGCAATCTGACCTGCTGATTTGAGTTCATCAGCCCTTGAAGCATGTGACTGAGGAGAATCCTTCAGACTAAATCCTGATCCATGGATTTGAGATTTTCCAACCTCCAGAATTACTTGAGCCATTTTCTTGGCAGTTTGTGAAGTCTATGATATGACAGAGAAATATGCTACCCTCTGATGGAAGGGAAAGTACTGATGGGAGGAGTAGTTGATGTTAGAGATGATGGTATAGCAGTTTATAAAAATTGGACATTTGGTATATCTTTAATCTTTGCTCATAGGATTCAGCCTTGTGCTGATTCTTCTAAAAGAAATTATTCAAGCACTTATTTATTATATATATTTATTTGTATCTACCACTCGTATTTCAGTTTATTATACTGTGTGGCTTATATATTGTTGTTATGCTGGAAGCTATGCCACAAGTATTTCAAATACCAACAGGGTTACCTATGGTGGACAGGTTTCAGTGGAGCTTCTACACTAGGAAGAAGGATGGGGCCATCCACTTCTGAAAAAATTGGCCACTGAAGACCTCATGAATAGCAGTGAAACATTATTTTATATATTACTGAAAAACATTACGAATAACAGTGAAACATTGTCTGATACAGTGCAGAAAAATGAGCCCCTCAGATTGAAAGGCACACAGAATGCAAGTGAAGAAGAGCATCCTCAAAGTAGAGTCGACTTTTATGACATGAATGGAATAAAGCTTTCAGGACCTTCATTTGCTGACATGGTGTGACTCAAAATGA